GCGCATATTCTTGACGCGGAGCGTAGGCGCCCCTGCTTGCATCGCTGGCGCGCGCGCATAGACGTACTCATCCAGTGTATAGCGCTGGCCCGCATTTGCCAGCGACGACAGCCTGTCCCGGGCAGGTCGCTCGAGGGACACTGGCAGGATGCCGCTCATCGATAGTTCGATCGACATTCTTGCGCCGTAGCTTTCTTCGGCACACCACTATGGGTAGCTTGCTCAGGGTATCAGCGCGCAGCCCAGCGGGGATGTTGCAGCGCAAGACTGCATCAAAACTGCAGATCGCGATGAGACAACGCTTCCGCGCCTCCGTTTGGGTCCGCGGTCACCGCGGGACAAGTCCGACCGCGACGAATCTGCTTTGGTAGGTACACATGCCGGAGCAGGGCAGAAGACGACGCTCGTACATACAAACTGTAAAGCGTTCCTGGCGGGCAAAGTAGTGGAGCAGGCTTTGCATGCAAAGCGATTAGGCATCGGATGCGCCCGCTCAAGCGCGCGCAGCAGACACGGTTCTCTGAAGGACGTTCGGCGAGATAAGAGGTCATTACAACGAGCAAGAAGCAGGAACGTGAGAGGCGGCGAGGTTACAACAGGCCGAGGCCGAGACCGAGTCATCATGACAATCGACGAGCTCCTCAACCGGAGCACATGACACACGCCTCCTTGTTCTCCAGCGAACAAAGCAGCTGGGCTTCCTCCAATTCGCGCTGCTCGCGGCGACGAACGGCCTCCTCGTACGAGATGTCATCCGCGTCGCCTTTGGGGGCAGCAGTAGACGAGGTCGCGGGCGCCTCGCTGACGGGGGCCGCAACATCGGAGCTGGCGGCGACGGGGGCAGACTGCGGTGCGGCGGGTGCCGGAACTTCCGCCGGAGGAGCCCGTTTCGCAGGACTCGACCCGTTCGCCAAAGACGTCCGCGCGAGGCCGTTGGTGATGTCGCGGATCGGGCTCGGCTTGTTGGCTGCGGGAGGCGTGGCCGCAATAGGCGGAGGGACGCTGGCCTTGGCGTTGGCAGATTTGGCGGAGTCTGCCGGAGGGGCGTGAGGTAGAATCGCGTATCAGCTACCGCTGCAATCCGAAAGAGATAGCTGCTGCGCCGGAGACTTACTCAGGGTCGCTTGGTCAACGGTGAACTTGATCGCTCCGACCGCGGCGCGGGTGCGGAGGTAGTACTGACAACGTCGACGTTACAGTCAGCACGCGAGGACATCCGACACGAGCCGACAGGGAGGAAACATACCATGCCGGTCTTGAGTCCCTTTTTCCAGCCATAGAAGTGCATGCTCGTGAGCTGCGCCATGGTCGGCGAGGAGAGATGGATGTTGAGCGACTGCGACTGGTCGATGAAAGCTCCACGGTCGGCCGCCAGGTCGATGACGACCTTCTGCGAAATTTCCCAGACGGTCTTGTAGATCCTCTTCAATTCGTCGGGGATGTTGGGGACGTTCTGAATCGAGCCGTTGTGAGCAATGATGGTGTTCTTCATCGCGTCGTCCCATAGACCGCGGTCGACGAGGTCCCTCAAGAGCCAAGGATTGACGACCTGGAATTCGCCAGCGAGAACGCGGCGCGTGTAGATGTTGCTGTCGGCCAAGCTCGAGTCAATTTTGCGGGCTGCGACATGCGCGATACAAGGGAAGACGCACGAGGTATACGGTTCGAAGGCCTCGTTGAAGCCGAGGATTTGACTCGTCGAGGCAGTGGGCATGGGCGCGCAAACGAGCGAGTTCCGGAGGCCGTGGCGGGCAATCTTCTCTTTGAGAGTCGTCCAGTCCCAGAGATCGGTCGGCGTAATGTTCCACAGGTCGTACTGCAGCAAACCGTGACTCGCCGGCGAGCCGCCTTTCTCGAGGTACGACGGGTAGGTGCCTGACTCGCCGGGGTGGTCGGCCGCCCAGTCGCGGGCCATGTCGCACGACGACTCGATGGCAGCATGGTAGATCGTTTCAAAGATCTGGAGGTTGAGCTGACGGGCTTCCGGCGAGTCGAAGGGCAGACGGAGGGCCATGAAGGCGTCGGCGAGACCTTGCACGCCCACACCGATCGGGCGGTGGCGCATGTTGCTTCGCTCCGCCTCCTTGACGGGGTAGTAGTTGACGTCGATGATGCGGTTGAGGTTGTAGGCGACGACCTTGACGACGTCGTGCAACTTCTGGAAATCGTACTCTCCGTTCTTGATGAAGGACGGGAGAGCGATGGAGGCCAGGTTGCACACGGCGCTGCGCGGGTTCACAGGGTCTCAGTCACACGCGGGCGGGGAGTGCTATGCGGCAGAAGGGCCAAAACGCACCACTCGTCCGGGGCGGAGTACTCGATGATCTCCGTGCAGAGGTTGGACGACTTGATGGTGCCGAGGTTCTTCTGGTTGGATTTCTCTGCCAGGTTTTTGCAACTGAGTGTCAGATGTCGGGTCGTCCCGAAGGAGTGTAGCAGGGGTACGTACCGTTGGCGGCGTCCTTGTAGAGCATGAAGGGATTGCCCGTCTCAACCTGGGCTTCGAGAATGGCGTACCACAGCTTCTGCGCCGAGATCGTGCGCTTGGCGCGACCCTCCTTCTCGTACTTCTCGAAAAGCGCCCTGAACTCGTCGCCGTAGACCTCGTGGAGGCCGGGCGCTTCGGCGGGGCAGAACAGCGGCCACTCGGCGTTCTGCTCGACGCGTTCCATGAAGAGGTCGGGGATCCACAGCGCGAAGAAGAGGTCTCGCGCGCGGACTTCTTCTTTGCCGTGGTTCTTGCGGAGGTCGAGGAAGTCGAAGATGTCCGCGTGCCACGGCTCAAGGTAGATCGCGAACGCGCCGGGTCGCTTATTGCCTCCTTGGTCCACGTAACGCGCCGTGTTGTTGAAGACGCGGAGCATAGGCACGATGCCGTTCGAGTAGCCGTTCGTGCCCGCGATGTACGAACCGGTCGCGCGGATGTTGTGAATCGAAAGACCGATCCCGCCCGCAGTCTTGGAGATGAGCGCGCAAGTCTTGAGCGTGTCGTAGATGCCTTCGATCGAGTCGTCCTGCATGGTGACGAGGAAGCAGGACGAGAGTTGCGGGTGGGGGGTACCGGCGTTGAACAGCGTGGGCGACGCGTGAGTGAAGTAGCGCTCCGACATCAAGTTGTAGGTCTCGATAGCACGCTTGATGTCGGGTCCGTGGATGCCGACGGCAACGCGCATGAGCATGTGCTGAGGACGCTCCGCCACTTTGCCGTCGATCCACAGCAGGTACGAGCGCTCGAGAGTTTTGAAACCGAAGTAGTTCTGCGCGGCCAGGTTCGTCAACGATGCCTGCTCCTATGCTCCGCACAGCGGCCCACGCGCGCCAGAACTTATGAACGCACGTAGCTGAAATCGCGGTCGTAAATGACTGCACTGTTGAGCTCGTCGGCGTTGGCGACGATAACGTCGTAAGTCTCCTTGGAGATCATGCTCGACGGCCGACCGTTCTTCGGATTGACTGTGTGCAGGCCCTGGTGGGTCAGTTCCCACTCTCGCTGTCCGTCTGTCCGACGAGTGGTTACGCACTGTAGTTGTACAGGTCGGTGATCACGTGCGAGAAGGTCTTCTTGGTCTCTTTGTGAAGGTTGGAGATGGCGATGCGGGCCGCCAAGATGGCGTAGTCCTGCGCGCGAGCGTTCGTAGACGTCAGCCATGAAATGCGTAGCGGCTTTGTCAAGCGGACGCGTAAACACACCGGATGCCGGGTCGTCATGTAAGCAGCCGTCTCGGCCGCCAGGTTGTCGAGCTCGACCGTAGTGACGCCGTTGTAGACGCCGTTGATGACGCGCTTGGTGATCTGTGTACGTTTGCGGGTCAGACCGTTTCGGGCTGCGGAAGGTGAACGACTCGCGGAGACCCACCTCGATGGGCTCGACATGGTTCATGTCGAGGCCGTAGCACAGCTTATTGATGCGCGCCGTACTGCACAGTGCCGGGTCAGAAAACAACAAGCTCCTATGCGCAACTCTTACACTCACATCTTGTCAAACGCGACCTGCTCGCGGCGGCCATCTGTCGCGTCCGACATGAGAAGATCAGTCGGGCAAGTTCATCCGCGGGAGAGCCATCGCGGGAGAGCCATCGCGCGCGAGAATCGTGTGCTCACCGCGCTGTGGGAGGGGTCGTATAGCGCGTGATGCAAGCCTCGTCAGCCATCGCACGCCAGGTCAGGGCTGCCTTGGGTCGCGCACCTTGTATACGTAAGCCATGCTGCGAGAGGGCACGGGAGAGAGCTGGGGTGGGGCCTGGCCGATAGGGACTGTCGTAGAGATAGAGCTGGTCTTGACTTGCGAGGGTCTCGCGAGTCTATGTGGCGAGAAGCTGAGCTGGGCGGGAGGAGGAGGAGCAGAGAAAGGGAAACTCGCGAGGGCGCGTCCATCGCGCCGCACGCGCTTTTCTCAAGACGCGCCTCGTCGCGTTTGGCCATTTTTTTGGCGGGACTTGGCCTGACTGTACAGCTAGCTGCAGCTGCGCATGCATCTGCCTCGTCTTCGCTCGACGGACTTGGCAGGCGACCACTGGATCGAAGGACCTCCCCCCTGCTCACAGCGCGGCCAACGGGACCCGCACTACATTTCGGACTGCACAATGTTCAATACTCGTGCTTGTTCAAACAAGCATCGTTCAGGAAGTGTCTGCTGCACTCGGGGTAGTTGCACAAGCATGTACGTTGATTTGCCTCGGCGCAGAGCGCAACACCGGACAAGCCCGGAGTGGCGGACTCAACGACAGGTTGTATTTTGTAAATTGGCAGCGAGCAACCGGAAGCCTCTATAGCACAGTGGTAGTGCGTGTCACTCGTAATGACAAGGTCGAGTGTTCGATCCACTCTAGAGGCAGTCGTTTTTGTTTTCTGGAGCTTGTTTTTTTTTGGTACCCCGTGCTGCGCTGCACATCTACCGGCGACGCCATCCGCGCTGCGCTTTTATCGTTGTATCATGGAGCAGCCGCCAAAAGGAAATCAAAGCTCTTCCCTTGAGGAGGCAGAAGAGGCGCAAAAATAGTTGAGCGCACCCAGGATCGAACTGAGGACCTTATCCGATCACACAAAGAGTGTAAAGGACACGTGATAGCCGACTACACCATGCGCCCGTTTTGAGCTCGAGTCGGTTTACTAGGCTGTATGTATACTACATATTGTGAGGACTCTGGCAGCTGGGGGGCATTCAACAGCAATACGGCTTCTCGCACGGGTCCCTGCTCCCGCGAGCGCATCCGTTGTGCGTGCTCCAGCAGGCCCCAAGCAAAGATCCGCGGGGGGGGGGTGGGGGCCAAAAAGAGAATTTGCCCCCACACAGGATCGAACTATGGACCTTTCGCTTACTAGGCGAACGCTCTGCCACTGAGCCATAGGGGCGGCTTGCCGACGGCAACGTTTCTTGCCACTATAACTGATGCACTTGACAGCTTGCGTGCCTTCTCCGATGCCCCTTGATCAACAACCGCACCACACATGTGATGCTTGCGGCACACATAAAAATGTGCAACAGTGCTATGGCACCAAGTCTCTTGTGCCAGACTCTCCAGCTTGGAAATTGGATTCAAATGACCGTTGCCAGTGGCCACTCAAGCTCAAAACCGGATGTTGGCAAGGCCCCTCAGGCTCATGAGCTGATGCAGCAGTGTGCAGACTTCAATCTGGTCAAGGTTTGATCCCAGATATCCATGTCTGCCCCTTGTGCGCAGCTTGGAAGGTTTCTGTTTAAGCTTGCTGTTCAGCTGCAGCCACACAGCCTGAGAAGGTTGTTCATGAAATTCTTGTAGCGAGCCGTCGCTCCTTCGGAGCAGGAGCCGGTGCCTAATACAAGACTATGCATGCCAGGACAACCCCACCACTGCAAGACTTTCCACTGGCCGGTCCCCACCTGAGATCCGCTCCCGCGCCTGCTCCCCTCCTTTTTCACATTTTGACAGACTTTCATGTGCTCCTGGCTAGGCCATCAATCAAATAGGCAGGTGCAGCTTAACAGAAGAGTGTACAAGATTGGCACAAGCTCTCAGCCGGGCCAGCAACTCGCGTGGCGCGAAACAAGGGGACGGGGCGCAAGTGGCGGATCGAAAAAGAAAGAGATTGGGCCACGCTGGCCTGCGCAGCGTCCAAAAAGGATTTGACCACGCTGGGGCTCGAACCCAGAGTCTCCTGATTTACGCTGAATCGTAGTCAGACGCCTTGCCATTGGGCCACGCGGCCATCGATGATAATTCGTCAAACTTTGCAAATTCAAAAGAAAATTGCCCTTTCCGCTCTCCGGCCGCCATGGTTCTCACGAAAGCCCTTGTCGGCAAGGACAGTGCGGTCCTGAGGTGCGAGGCACCGAAGCAAAAGTGGTCGAGGTCTCGGAAAGACGTCAGCAAAGTTTCCAGTTCTGACATCTCAGCTCACGGTTGCTGCCGCGAGACGCCCTGCAGCAGCTGCTCAACACGGTCGGGCACCCTAAGCTTCCCTTGCAAAAGCGCACTTCCCCTACGGGGCGTTTCGCTTTTCATTCGAAGGGAGGCCCCCTCATTCCGGCCGATGCGCTTCTTTTGCCACCAACTTCCGGATCCGATCTCTCCTCACACAGGCGTCGGACTGGAATGTGAGCTTGACTGTCACGCCTGCGCAACATTCTGCTACTGGCTGATGTGCAAAGATTCCCTGTCAAAGCTCCTTGTGCGTCATCGCAGTCGTCGACCGCCTGCCGAGCTCTGACGCGTCGTAGCGCTAGCTCATCAAAATTTTTAGAGACTGTCAGCCTCTAGACAAGCTAGGCCATACTCCCGTGCACCAGCTAGGCAACTTGGCCGCCTGCCGAGTGACAAGCAAGTGTCTTTTTGCGATGTGTCTTCTGCAGCATGAGTCGACATGGAGGCGCCCAAATCCTTCCGTTGCCTTTACATGCATGGGTCTACATGCATGGGTTTGACAGCAATCAAGTAGCCTACTGTATCATTCTGTGGGGGCCTGTACGGTGGCGCGCTCACATCGAAAGAGCATTCTGACTTTCGCGACCTGGGCCCGATTCCCCAATTTCGGGGGATACTCGATAGCTCCGAGCTGTACAGCCGCACTCTCGAAGCCCGCATGACAATCCGAGGCTTTTTGGGGTGAAGAATTGGGCCTCGAAGATGGTGAGAAAGCGGGTGGCCCGGGCGCGCTGCACAGCGCCTCCTGCAGTATCTCAGGGATGCGCAGCTGCTCCTCCGAGAACGCAATCAGTCAAGAGAGGGCGTTACAATCCGTCACTAGAGGTCCGCCATACTGCTAAGCACTTCCTCCAGTCGCTGCCGCTCGCTCTCGCCAATGTCGGATTGGAGGAGCTTCTGCTTGAGATCGTTGAGCCATTTGGCCTTGAGCGCATCAAAGCTCGGCGCTCCATCCGGCAAGGTCATCTCGAATGCCGACGCCGAGGGCACGGTCGATCGTGCCGAAGCAGACTTGACGAGTTTCGACGCTGCCGACTTTGCTTTGCTTGTTCCGCCGCCACCCGACCCGGCGGTGCTCTTGCCCTTCTGCTGTCGCTTGCGAGCAGACTTGGAGAGCGACTGACGCTCGACATTGGACGCCTCGTTCTTGTCCATCAGATCCCAGTCCTCTTCCGACTCGACGCCGTGGGCTGCCGCATCGGAACTCGTCGCCTCTTCCGCTTCGGCCTGCCCGGACTCGTCCTCATCGTCGTCGTCCTCGATGTCGCTTGCGACAAACTCGCCGAGCGGCGAGCCATTGATGCTGCGCATCACGATACTTTCGCCGAGGCGCGGTTGACGTGGGGTCGGCGCGGCGGCACCGACGCGAGAAGACGGGGCCGATGCACCCCGCGCTCCAGTCGCCGCGGTCGAGGGCCTTGAAGCGGTGTCGAGCGACTCGTTCTGGCGATAGATGAAATTGCCGGCCGCCGGAGTCGCTGACCCGCCGGCTGCGGTCTGCGATGCGCGAATGCGGAGACGCGGTTTACGAGTCTGTGTGTTGTCGACACAGTGAGCATGTGCTGCTCGACTTTGCGTGGCCCGCTCAACGACCGACTTACGCTCGAGGGCGAAACGAGGTTCGCTGCACGAGTCGCACGTGTGCTGTTGCCTCGCAGCGGTCCCGTCGTCGCTTTCCTGGCACTCGCGGCGTTCGCATCGGCCCGTGCTTTCTTGACGGTACCGAAAACATCAGATTCATCGCCTGTAGCCCTCTGAGAGTCAGTATGTGGGGGGACAGATAGGAGCAGTGCCAGGTGAAACGCTTACCAAAGGCGCCGATGGCGGGAGAGCTCGGCAAGACGCGTTTGCTGTGGAGTGTCCACCCGCGTGAGTTGGCACTGTCTGCACCGTGTCTGCCATCTGGGTACTCACCGCTTGCGGGCGCTCTGCTCGACGGCACTGATGGCCGGCGGCCGCATGCTCTGCTCGACCAAGGCGCGGAGAGCGCGGTGCGGGTCGCAGTCAAAGTCGCCGACGTAGCTCGACAAGGACATGGCCTGGACGCGGGTATCGAGCGAGGTCAGGGTGTCGCCAAAGTGGCGAGCGAGGGCCGCGAGACGCTCGCTGTGCTTCTTGGCGAGGGAGCGCAGATGCGAGGCGGCTGTACCGAGACGTCGCTCGGCGTGAGCATTCAACAGCGGGGGCTCTATACCGCGAAGGGGACCCAGACCGCGAGCTCACCTTCGAGTTCAAAGTCTTCCCTCATGGCTTCGAGGTCTGCCCAGCCGAGTTGATCATCGTGGACCTGCACGGGGCGGTGCGCACGAGCTGCCTTGCGCGGCGTGGGATCTCCAGACTTGTTCTTGACCGCGGCGCGTGTCGACATTGCGGCTTGAGGTCGGACTCGAGTGTCGGGAGTGAAGGAGGGTTGAATGACAGTGACAGGGGTCGGAACCCGGAGGTCGAATCGTGGGCGAGGGAAAGGTGCCTGACGGCGAGACACAGAGAGGCTGTACTGATATGGATGACTGGTCTCGGCTTGGCGGGCAAATGCGTGCGTAGAGAGAGAGAGAGCACGGCGAGGTGCGCGAGGTGCTCGCTGGACGCGGTCACGTGCCGCGAGATTGATCGCTCAACTTGTGCTGCTCGCCCGCTTGGCTCTCTCGCGCGCCCTCTGCCCGTACCGCCGACAGTCACTTCGAGTCTCACTGCGAGACCACGACGGATCGCTATGCCGCGCAGATCAGATGGCGCTACCGCCAACCGCCGCGCTTCCCTCGCAAACAGCGCCGACTCGAATCGCTCGCCGCGTCAACCAGCGACGCCCCCCCGGCAGGGTCCGCGGAACCCAAAGATGGCAGTCCTCGCAGCCGCAAACCGACTCAGGGACGCGACCGGGACCCCCGGCCGCAACGTCAGCGGGACTCTCGGCGCCGCACCCCTCGTCGTCGAGAGCCAGCGCTACGAGGAGTGGATGAAGATCGCGACAGACAACGTGCGTCGCATTCGTTCCCCACTTGGCTTCCATGCAGCTGACTCTGAAGCTATCGCTCGCGCGCAGAAAATCACGTCGACCAACACCTGGAACCTCGCCTTGATCGACTACTTTCACGACATGTCGCTCCTGCGCAACGGCGAAGATAACTCGATCAACTTCCAGAAGGCGAGTTGCACTCTCGACGGGTGCGTCAAGATCTGGACGAGCCGGGTCGACTCGGTCGCGACCGAGACGGGCAAGCTGTTGAGCGGACTCGGAGAGGATGCTCGTACGTTCGTTCCCTCGCGGCTGATTGTCATTCTTCACGCGCCGATGCTCATCTCTTGACCGCCATCAGAACCTCTCGATGACGACGAGATGGACGACGAAGGAGAAGATGGCGCCGGACGCCCCGAGAAACGTACACGAAAGCATGTGAGACCCATCACAGCAACTCTCGACAGAACCTGTTCCCCGACTGACATGACTCGCGACACAGACTGCGCGACAGGCCGCGACGCTCGCCGACGACTTTGCGAAAATCCGCGTCAAGCAGTTCGACCTCGAGTTCACCGTCGACCCGCTGTTCAAAAAGACTTCGGCCGACTTTGACGAGGGCGGCGCAGGAGGCATCCTCATGAACCACCTCGGATGCGACGGGTCGATGAAGGTCGTCTTTGACGCTGGAGACGCCAAGCTCGACTGTGACGAAGAAGACGAGGAAGAG